AGACGCGGGCTATTGCCGAGCGTAGTATAAATGCGATCGTTTGAAGCAATCTGATTGGTTAGCGCGCGTGATGGTGAAAAGTGATGTGAAGAGCGAGCGTTGCAGAAATGCGTGATAATGTGGGATGTTCCCACAATATATTTATTCCAATAAATATAAATGACACTAAAGTATAAGAGGCTTAAACTTGGCGGCGGTCAGGCATACGACCGTTCAAGTGACTAAACTGCCGTAGTGGCGAATACTAGTAATGGGGCATAATCTGCTGTACTGAGCCTGGACTGACAGAGGCCTTGTACATATTGTTATAAAAAAAAAATATATATATATATATATTAAAAAAAATATATATATATATCAAATTGTATATGTGTAAATACAGACAATGGACTGTTAACTGCAGACTGACTAACAAATGACAGACCCGACCTCTCGTCAGAGAGGGCGCCCCCCAATGGACAGGACAGTAACTTTCATTCAAAAATGAAATATCTGGTCATGAGCCCCAGCTGGGGCTCGACACCAAGACATACAGACTGACTGACCGTCAGTTGTAACTGAAACTTGACTTGACTTAAATGACACTGAAAAATGATACAGAGAAAGAAGTCAAATTTTAACAAAATAAATATTTTATTTTGTGTAGAGCACATCTTCTTATGAGCCAGTTTGTAGAATTCAATTATTGACATTTGGGGCATTACCCATTGTCCAGTCTTTTTTATTTAAATTAATGTTTTGGAGACCTGACTCTGCCTTCATCCTCAGTTTAAAATTTGCCTACTCAACTGGGCTGATTGATAGACCTAGGCCCACCCTCTAACTTTTAGTTCCAGTAAAATTCAGTTTTAGCATAAAGCATGCTCATATTCACTTTAAGCATACATTTCCATCCTTTTTATCATAGACAAAAGACCAATCATACCAATATGCATTATGGTAATTTATTAATTACTCACTTCATAATCAACAGCGGAACGATATCTCTTGCCTATTGCTGCCATGTTGGTCTCCAGATTCATAACAAACCTCACTGGCCTGTGGAGTTTGTGTGCAGCAAGTGCACATGAAGTAGCTATCAATGCACTGCGTGAAATTTTTGCTCCATACCCTCCCCCAAGTCGTCGTACATTGATGTTGATACTGGAAAACATACATTTGATCTAAGTTTAAGTTTCAGAATGTATGTGATTTTAGCCTGAATACTTTGACTCCATACTTTACCTATTTTCAGGGATATTCAGGACTTGGGATATTGAAATCTGTACACAGTCCATCCACTGGGAAGCAGGATAAACATCTATTCCATCTTCAGTTGGGATACAGACACATGATTGCGTCTCCATTGTGTAGTGATACTGAGATCCAATGTCAAAGCTGCCTTTAATCACATGTGCAGCTTCTGTTTCACCTATGCATTAGAACAATGCTAAGTACAAACCCTGTACCACTGAATTAGACTCAACTCTATTATGTAATAGATTCCATTTTTAAAAGCTTACATTGTAAATCTGACAGGCTAAATTTTCAATTTTCACCACACCATTTTGAAACCAGTAAGAAAACATGCACAGCAATACTTTTGAAAAGAAATATAATGATACAACATCTACATCACTTCCATTACCAAGTTATGTGAAACAAGAGAAGCCATATAATTTTTACACTGAGGTTATAACAACTCTCTTCAAGTGTAGAAATTACATAACATAAGAAGCCAGGGTTGAATAATTGTGAATGGAAGAATTTTGAAGTAGGAGTTCGTAAAATATATGAAAGTGCTATTCCAACATTTACCTAGAAGAACCGAGGAATACCATGAAAAACTATCAGGACAGAGAGTTTCCTGATAAAATTTTGTATTGAATATTTACTGAACAGAAGTCACATGCATTGAGAATACACTGACCTGCTGGGTACTGATTGTAATAACTGAAATAACATAAACCTGCAGTTGCACATTCTGCATCTCAGACAGCAATGGTAATAAGAGTCTGGCCCAGTCAGTACCCAGATTTCAGTTCACTGAACTGATGCAGACTCTGATTGTGGAATAATTAAATATGACTGCCTTTCTATATGAATTTATGATAATTGGAAACAAAAGTTATACAGTACAGCACATACATATTTCACCTGGACATCCTTTGGGATGCTATTTAGTCTGGTGGATAGGTACCAATATTTAGGAGAGACCTGATGCCTCTATCTACTCAGTAGTTGAAGGTAGGGATAACATGTGCATCTGAGATGTTCATATCTACCTACCAGGCTACACAGCATCACATCCTAAAAGACGAAGATCATAATATTCACAGCTGTGAGGAACTCAAATATTGCACATTGACAGCAGCTTGCTAAAGGACTTCCTTATATAATTGTTTAGCTTATATTCCTATGAAAAATAATCAGTAAGTTATTTAGTACAGCAGTTTTGTTCGCTGGTCATAAATGATTACATTTAAAAACAAAACCACTTTTCTAGCTACATAAGTACACCCAGCTGCCCATATGTGAGAAGTGACAGACCATATTTTTCACTGACTAGTGAAATAAGTTAATATTTCTGCACTGTGCTCCTCATAATTAGATAAATGCAATGAATTCTGAAAAATTATGCAAGCTTACCCTGCACTTTATGTTGTGGTTCCACTTCTACTTTTATTCGTGTTTTGTCACCTGAAGCAATAACCTCCCTCATGTCAACATGAGGTTTCTGCACATTGCTGTATTCCACTTTCACTTTCAGAGCTGCCTGGTGGGCCAAGTTCTGCGTGTCAGCCAGCACTAGACCAAATGGCTGACCTGCATATTTTATATTGCCACTGCAAAATAGCTGACCACCAGTTCACGTTAAAAAATGCAATGTATGATGTTAATTATTTAACATTTTATCAGCATCAAAAGTTATTACTGCAATTGAGACTGATTTGTACTTCCAAATCCCTGTCCAGTTTTATAAATGGTGATGAGTTGTAAAGTTACAGTAACAATCAGAAATACAAACCTATGAAGTGGCCAACAGTATATAAAATTTGGTAATGAATGTAATATCCACAGTATACTCCTGTAATATGATATTTAACTGTCGCAGGCAGAAGTTTTGATTATGAAGGAAAGAAGGATAAATATTGCAGCATGCAGAGCCGTTGCTATGCAACGACTGCGAGATGGGTGGATATACCAGATCCACATACTACATGACAGTATTTTTAATGTGTCACATAATACATGAATTTTTATGAATGTTAGATTTCCATTTCTTTGCCCAAACATTTATCATATGTTCTTATGTTTATTAAATTAAAAAGTAAAATTCAGTATAAGATCAGTGATTCATCAGTTACTATCCTGACATCAGAATAGTTTGCTTAATTGTTTATTTTTATTTTTATTTTTCTAAAAGAAATATATCTTAACAAAACGTATACAAATATCATGTAATTAGACACTCATTATCTGTAGTATATTTAACACACTCAATGTTTCAGAAAATGGCTTACTCGTACACTCAGTTTTGAAAATGGATTCCTTTTTTGAACGATGGACAATGTCTAACATAATATCTGCATACTCGTATTAAATAGACCATTGTCATTAATATTTAATGAATCAGTAATGAAGTTGCATACTTTATAAACAAGTAAACACAAAACTTTAGACCCCGCTTTGAATGGGACTGGTCTGGTTTCCACCTCACAAGTTTGCATGATGATCATTATGCTACTGCTGAACACAGAAAGTTAAGAGTACCAAGATGGAGAAATATCCTGTAGCATGATGAGCATGAAAATTTTTCAGTTGCTGTCTTTGTGTTCAGTTGTGTATTTGACTAAGAAGGTGAATAGTCACATACAGCTTACTGTAGAATTATAATGGAAGAATATTACATATTCTATACAAGCTTTCCTACATCTGAAGATGACTGTCTTTTGGATTGTGATATCATGTAGTTTGACAGATGTGTACCTGTCTACAAAACTGCACAGTTTCACGCCCCATGACATAGTAATTTTCACAGGCACTGCCATAGGAGAACCAAAAGTTTGCAGGATCGAATCCTGATGAGGTGGATTTTTTCAATTTACGTAATCCTTCCAGCCGCACTATGGCCCTGGGGTCAACTCAGCCTCTAACAGAAATGAGTACCAGGAATATTCTTGGAATATTCTTGGGTGTAAAGGACGGCCGGGGCATAAGGCTGACAACCTTGCTGCCATCTATGAGCCAACTGTCTAGAAAATGTGGGAACCTCAACATCTCACAACTCTTTGGTCCTCCATGGCCTGTTACAGGGATACCTTTACTTTCTTTACTTTACTTTACTGCCATAGGATCCTGATATATCATGTGTCTACATCTGTTCTGACATCTGTTTTCATAAAGACAATAAAATTTGTACAAATTTTACGTACCTCTTCATCCTCAATCATCGCGATTAATCCCACAGGAATGAAGGAGTTCTTTCCTGGAATATCTTTAGCAGACAGGAAAGCAACAACCCCTTGCATATCCTGGAATGAGGAAGCACACAAAAAATTATAGACAATAACCTGTATGTACTTACTTACTTACTTACTTACTTACTTATGGAGCTGAGCCCTTCCTGAGGAGAAGCCAAATCTCAAGCTACTCAAGAATGTCACAGCATTTTATGGAACCCAGAGGTTCATTACCATGTTCACAAGAGCCCTCCACTGGTCCCTATCCTGAGCCAGATCAATCCAATCCATACCATCCCATCCTATCTCTCTAAGATCCATTTTAATATTGTCCACCCACCTACACCTTGGTCTTCTCAGTGATCTCTTCCCTTCTGGCTTTACCACCAATATCCTATATGCATTCCTTTTCGCCCCCATTTGTGCTACATGCCCTGCCCACCTTATCCTCCTTGACTTGATCATTCTAATTATACTTGGAGAAGAGTACAAGTTATGAAGCTCCTCATTATGCAGTTTTTTCCAACCTCCTGTCACTTCATCCCTCTTTGGTCCAAATATTCTCCCCAACACCCTGTTCTCAAACACCTTCAGTCTATGTTCCTCCCTTAATGTTGGAGACCAAATTTCACATCCATGCAGAACCACAGAAAAAATTATAGTCTTGTATATTCTAATTTTTCTGTTTTTGGACAGTAGACAAGAAGACAGAAGGTTATGGACTGAATGGTAGCAAGCATTACCTGAGTTCAATCTTCTCTTAATTTCCTCCTCAATCAGGATTTGATTTGTTATCGTTGTTCCCAAATATCTGAACTGTGCCACATTTTCAAAACATCTGTTTTCTATCATTATGTCATAATTTTGCCCTGCATTTAGGTCACGAGACAGCAACATATACTTAGTTTTCTCTGTGTTTACTTCTCTGATCAATCTCCTTACTTGCGTCAATTAAAGTCTGTGTATTTTTCTTTATGGTATCTGTATTATCACCCATTAGATTCACATCATCGGTAGAAAGCAACAGCAGATGTGTCCCGTTTAATTTCAGTCCCACCTGGTTTTCCTGGACCTTCCTAATGGCATATTCTAAGGCAAAGTTGAAAAGGAGTGGCGATAAAGCATCTCCATGTTTTAGACAGTTCTGGATAGGACATTTATCAGACAAATGTTTACCTATACAGACTTCACTATAAGTTTCATTTATACACATTTTAATCAGCCTAACAAGTTTCATTGGTATCCCAAACTCTATAAGAATATTGTACATTACTTCCCTCCTAACTGAATCATAGGCTTGCTTGAAGTCTGAAATAGCTGATGTACTGTCTCATTGTACTCCCATTTTTCTCCAGTATCTGACAAATGCTAAAGATCTGATCTGTAGTTGATCTGTTATGTTGAAACCCACGCTGATGATCCCCAATAATTTCATCTATGCATGGACTTAACCTTGAGAGAATAATATTTAATAAAATTTTTGTATGGAGTTGATAGCAGTGATATCTCCCTATAATTACTACAGTCACTTTTATCACCCTTCTTAGGAACTGGTACAATAATAGACTCCTTCCACTGATCGAGCAATTTTTCCTTATGTCAAATAGAAGTAATTAGCTTATGAATAATATTTCGCCTCCTGCTTGAACAAGCTCTGCCAGAATTTGATCACTACCTGGCGATTTATACCGTTTCAATTTTGCAATTGCAATTTCAACCTCAAAAGGGCTAGGATCACGCATTAATGGCTCAGCTGTGTGCATTTCTGTCTGCCTAACATCACTGACCCTATGTACAATCAATAACTGAGAGAAGTAGTTTCTCCACCTATTCAATATGTTGTGGGAATCTGGAAGCAGATCACCATTCTCATCCTTCACTAAGTTACTGCTAGGCTGGTAACCCCTCTTAAAGTCATTTTTTCCTCTATACAGGTCTCTAATGCTCTTGTTCTTACTGTTCATTTCAAGCTCATTAATTTTGTCTTTCATATATTTCCTCTTTTTATTCCTGAAATGCCTGCTGGTTTCGCATCTTATATTATTTTTCTAGGATCCTGTAACCATTGCAATATGGCTTATTTTCTTTGGTCTATTACTTTGAGCATCCTTCATCGAACCATAGACAATAGCCTGTGCACAAGCAAATCTTAATTATCTAATTTTGCTTTACATATTGCAGCATGTAGTACCGTTGCTATGGAATAATCGCAAGAAGGAACATACATTGCTTGGTAATGGCTGGTAAACATGTTAGTGATATCTAGGTTATCACTGGGCCACCGCCCATAACAACAACAGAAGAAATGTTGGAGGTAGTGTTTCCTGTTTGGCCCACCCTGAGACTATATGGTGAGAACCTCAGACCAGCTGAGTGAGTTCAACTATGTGATATTCGCTGGACAGTTATGGCTCACTCACTCACTCCTGTTTATAAATGCAAGCACAATTATGTTTGCATTTATAGACAGAAGTGAGTGAGTGAGTTAGTGAGATATTAATGCAACAGGCTGCTGAAATATAATATTGTGGGCAGTAATGACATGAGCGCAGGAAGCTGAAGAATCTCCACTGTTAGAAAACATTGCTAAGGAATGGCTGTTGGAGATACAGCAGGCTGGAAAAAGACTTAGAAGGTGGTCTGGAGATTAACAATAGCACTGTGATTACTTGTAGTACTTCCTAATGGTATGTACAAGTGGTCAATAAATCCATTTCGTCACTCCATACCCCATCTGTAGTCACTCCTGAAAACATGACAAGAGCTCTATAGAGATCAGTCTCCATTTAAGGCTTCTTTGGGGAACTGTGTATTTGGCCAATGAGGAGATCTTAATTGGAGGTAATCTACTATTCACATTGCNATGGATCAATATTTGCAATATACCCCTGACCCACTGTGGTGAGAGTGAAGGCAGCATAAACTTCACCAGGAATTGTAGGGATGTCATTGACATACTGTGCTTCTCCTGAAATAGAAAATAATATTAAAGCTCTGCATCTCTAGGAACTAATTTTGAGCAGTATGGTTATACTCAGTCAGCAATAAGCCATGGGTGCCACCAGAATATCTCCCAAGGGAGATCTGTCAATTTTACGAGGGGGAGTCCAAAAATTTTGTTTACAGCCTCAAAATTGAGATATTTAAGACTACTTTCTAGTAATTTTTAAAATTATTTTTAAACCTTATTGTTAATATTTGGTATATTTCCTTTGTCTCTTCAAATTTTATTATTTATTCCATGGGGGAGGGGGGAAGATGTCTAGTTTGCATTCCCCCTGCCAGTGTCCATGCCACCATCACCAACCTGGAATACAGTTCATATGCCAAAAGAGTCTTATGATGGCAAGCAGTCTTATGCACTTCATATTTGAAATGGTTGCTAATTTTTATGACAGATTGCTCTAATTGCAAGTGTTGTTTTATATTTCTTTCAAACTGAAATTCTAATGGATCTATGGCAACACATTCAGAATATTGTTCATTATTGGTTATTTAGCAATGCTTTTTCAACTGCATCAATCACATCCAAAGAACTGTAGGATGGTCAAGACTGATGAGTTGGAAGTGGGTAGATGTGACTATGTGACTAAGGGACAGAGTTCATACCAGTAGAGAGTGAAGCTATACAATGATTACAGCAGATGTTTTGGTTCAATGAGTGTAGTGTAGGATGATGAGTCATTCTCACAGTCAGCAAATTTGTTGTGGCTGGTATGGTTGCCATTAAAGATTCTGTTTGTCCAGATCTTTTATTTTCAAGCATGATTTTCACAACTCTTGCAATGAAGTATATTGTTCAGCTGCATAAGTGTTCATAACTAGGCTACAGTCCGGTGACAAAGGAATCTGGGTTCAGTTCCCAGCAGAGGAAAGAGATTTTTCTCTCCTCCAGACCAGCACTAAGCAACTTCCTGTCTAATGGGTACTTGGGACTCATTCCCAAGGGCTAAAGTAGCCAGAGCATGAAGCTGACACCTCACTTCTATCCAGTGCTGATGGTAAGTGGAGCTATACTTCCACTTCCCCAGATACCCTTATAGTGTGCTCAGTTAAGCAGGATAGCTTTACTTTCACTATACTGTACATAAGAAAGAAAAGTTACAGGAGTGCATTCAGAGAGTCATTTGTAAATACCAAAAAGAATGAGTTCACAAGAAACTGTGCATATTGAAGCTTGTCAAGAAGTGGTGGGTTCAGTTTGTGATGCAAAGAAATTATCAAAGAGGAATGTGCTAACTTACAAAAATGTTTAAGATACATAGGAATGGTTAGAGATCAGTATTCACAAATATTTAGCTGGTTTTTCTCTGACATCTGCATTCACAAATACATACACAAATTTTGCATCAATCAGGCCTGCTGATTCTGTAAGTCACAAGACTAATTAATTTTCTCACATATAATGTAATGTGTATATATAACTTTATGCAACCACATTATTCATTCATTCATTCACTCCTTCATTTATTGTATATTCCATAAATCCATATACATAGTTATAGAACCAGTCACAGCAAGAATTTGCTTATGCAAATGGTTGCTGCAAAACATGTACATCTGAATCATGGATTCAGCACTCTTGTTGATGAACAGTAAGGCCTTACATTAGTGGTAATATCAACCTTCCAAGTGTGTGAACATGGAGCAAAGACAATCCTCATGCAGTTCAATAAGTAACATTTCACAGTGTAAAAATAGTGACACTATGTGTTGAATTTCCATGGCAAATTATTAGCCTGAATGTTTTTCAGCAAACCCTGTTTGGTACATGAGCAAGGACACTGAATTGCTTCAGAACTTCAAATGTGTTGCAAAATTAGCATTTCTTACAAAACATCCTAAGTTTGTGTCACTTTCATGCAGTAATCATTAATGAAATTTTGTTTAATTGCAGAAATTAAGCACCAGATGTCAGAAAAAACCTTGCACTTTTGCCTCTATGGTTACAGAGTAAATTTCCATTGACTTTCACAAACAGTACATTTCTATCCCAGCTGAACACTCTGTACTATCACAACATATGTGTGGAGGGACTGAGGAATACTAAACAAACCTCAGCCAGAATAACTAGATTATAGGTCAAGGTTTGAACCTGCAGTCTCCTAAATATGTAGCATGAAAGCTAACCATTTAATTGGGATGTTTTGGTCTGTCAGTGTAGGACTGCACTTTGAATGACAGGAGTTTGATTCCAGGCAGGAGTGTTAGGAATTCCTTCTTCAGCATATCATCCCACTGATTCTGCTTATTTCCCAGGGGTCCTTTGTTGTGAAGTACAGATGGAATAGGATTTTATCAGTATCTCTTTTTAAGCCTAAGGGGTTGTAGAACCCTGTTTGATGTAGAAATAGTAGGTGAACTATTGCTATTGTTGCGATAACAAATGGTATTTGGAAGTGCAGTGTGAGGAATCATAGAATCATGCCAATGTTGCATTGTCCACCATGAATTCTCATCATGCATATTGGAACAGTTCTGTTCCTGTATATGGTACTGCTGATATTAGGTTTGCAAATATTGTTGCTCCCCAAAATGACATTTGCCCTCATGAAGCATAAAACTAAAAGTCCATCTTCATGTCATGTAGTCTTGAAGTTAAAAATCCATGAAGCCTCACATCCACTTCCCTTGTAAGCCATTATGATGTGATGCTTTGCTGAATTTACAACAAATTATTTTAAAATTATTGTTTAAAAATTCAGTTACTTAAAACTTTCAAGGAATTACTTCAGTATGCTTAAGATATATGTATGTTGACCCCATGGACTGAGACCTTAGACAGTTAAAACATTAAACATGATAGAACTGTGCACTATATCCCAGTTCAGTCTTACCAGAACATTGAGTGACTGCCTCCAGCTTTGGAACTGGTTTATTTAGCGGCCACACTGATTGGTTTGTTTCAAAATCCTGCTTTCCTGTGGAAATCGGTCGTTCAAGGATTTTTCCACCGCTAACCAAGTTCTTTGGTAGATTAGGTGGAGACAACCCCAATACATACTGAAAAACGAGTAAAAGTAATATATTTGCTGACCCCTGCATCTGCATTATTTCAGCCATTTATGAAGGTATTAGAGAAGAAGATGACCTCAAGTGTGAGAATAAAAGAGCTCCATAAAACAGAATTCTGTGGTGACATGATAAGTACTGTCCTCTGGAATGTGATGCTGTGTAATCAGAAGTTCATCAACATTTCAGAGGAACACACTGCCCACATCTTCAAGGTTAAAGAGTAAGCCAAGTGAGTGCTTGCCTGTGTTACTCTTTGAACCGTACAGATGCAGGCAGTGTGTTCCTCTGAAATATCAGAGGAAACATGATGTCACATCCCACAAGATAGTACTCTTCATGCTTAGTAGTTCAAGAGCCTTAGATCTGACACTGTGGTGTCATAGTTACTATGTCACAATCTTTATATTCAGCTCTACTTATCAGCTATATTCACTAAATAATGCCACTGTCTGGGATATAAAGATGTGTGGTCTAGCAGAAGTTCACTGATGTTTCTCCAAAATGCTAGGCTACAAGGTGTTACATACTAGAAGACACTGCATACCATAGTCATCATTGAACCTCAGTTTTGGAGGATAATATTTTCCTCATTATCTCTATACAAAAGATAGGCTAGTATTAACTGTGTTAACATCCAAGGCAGGAATTATATAACCCAATTAAAAATTTCATAGTGGCAAGGAAGAGACACAAATTCAGTGTACTGTCACTGTCTCTTCAGCCAGTCAAAACTATGCAGCAGTCTTATTAGTACCCCACATTGAACTAAAAGTCAATATCATTATGTGGGGGTAAAGGAGAATTTGTATCATTCTTTCAATTTGCAGTACTCATAGGCTAATGGCAACCCTACCTCTAAAAACTCTTGGGGAAAGTTATAAAAGGATGGGCCCACACATGAAATAAGAGGAAACCAACACAATGATATATATTCATGTATGTTTCAGTTATAGCCAACAGAAAGTAGGAAAGACACCTTCAGCTATAGTTGCTGGATTTGAGATTGGGAACAAAAATTCATGGTACAGATTCTGCTGTGAGATTGGATGAAAGCAGAATAGGACGATGGACCTTCGTTTTGGTATGCAACTGGATACTGATGATACAGTATGCATGTAAGTAGAATGTAATATGATGCACAGTTTTTAGACTTCTCTCTGTATTATACATCTTGCATGAAAACCATCATTATTTTAAAAAACGAGTTATAGTGATATTTAATTTATTAATATGTGTTGTAAGATGCCTTTTCATGTATAGAAGCTTGAGAAAACTAAAATAAGAACAGTTTCAGGAGTGTGGATGCTACCTTATAGAACAAAGCTTCAGCCAAGCCTTTTCTGTATTCGGGAGAAGCATCTGGCAAAACATGATCCGGATGTAGCTCAGTGTCCAGTATTTTGAGGGCAGTCCTCAGAATTTTACGGTCAAAGAGATTCTTGCCATTCACATAGGATTCTGTGTTTGAAGCGTGGATCTGTAAGTATACAGTAATAGAGTGTTGTTTAGCATAAATTTGAAAACAAAGTGGTTTGCAAGTTGTGATGATTTAAATTTTATGGTCAGTACATCATTATCCTAACGCAGTGAATATCGAATATGATAAATTCCTTGTAGTAGTAGATGCAATAATACTACAGCTTACATAAATAGTAAAGTAAGGTTTATGGCACTGAACCAGTTAACCAGTCTTTAGAAATAATTGGAAGTCATGCCACTGAGTGTCACGTTATGGGAGCAGCAAATATCATGTGATCTAAAATATTATATGTATGTTTTTAGGGAATGTGTAAGTTTTTAAAGTTTATGTTTGAGCCAAATATAAAGTAACAACAGAGGAATTATATATTTAGTTTCACTTTTATAGTGGCAACAAATGAAGCATAATAACAAGGCATTTGATTTTAGAATCATAACAGATAAAGATGCATTTGTAAATGTGAGTGTTATTTTGTAGTTTAAAATTGCAAACATAATAAAGCTCTAATGTTGAGGTATAGAAATTTTGCACAAAGATAAATTTTCAGACTGTGATCTTCTGGGTTGTGATACTTTCTAGTCTTTGAGGTGGATATGAATGTTTTGAAGGAACAGGAAGCTGGAAGCAGGAAGTGGAAAGAATAAAACAGTTATGTGAAGGAGGGAAAGATTGTATGAACTAGAATGAGTAAAGAAGAGGACTGTGAGGAAGGCATAAATAGAGGGGACAGAAAGAGAAAGGATAGTTTTTTCTATGGAATGTCACATTCCAGAAGACAGTGATGTTCACAGTCACTTCCACAAGAACCTCAAATCTTCAGGAAGGGTGGTTGAAACTTTTCTCATCAAGAATATTTCAAGGGCAAAGTCACCTGAAATATTATTTTAACAGCAATTGGTATTTGTTATAATACTTACAAACTCAGGATTAATACCACCAAACACAATGGTTGGCTTTGCCAGTACCTTTCCACTGTCATTCACGTTTATTTTAAACAGAAAACCTGCGTTCACATATGCATGAGCATTCTGTGCTCTAGGCATGATCTGCAAAATGGAGAAAGGAAATATCATATAATATAAAAACTGCTACATATCTCTTGTTTTTAGTTTCATATTTCAATATATTATATAAATCTTGTGAAGAATATGAAGTCATTGTTTGCCATCATGAAGAAGAGAGATTGTAAAGAAGTAGTCCCACCCGTGTTCAGGTATTATGCTGTGTGTGTGAAGGGATGCATGAAACATCAGCTAAAATATGAAGCCCTAATTTTCATGTAGATATTTCCTAAAACTAACATGTTCAGAACTAACGGTTTCATGTTCATTGACACTATGTTATTTCTTTTTGTTCTACATGGGACCAATGGAGATGATAGGGGAAGCAAGTCAGATATTTCTCCTCACTGCTGCCACGAGTTTTGGAAAAAATCAAAATTGAGAAAAAAACAAAAGAATATGTACCAAATATTAACAACAGAAAATTCAATTATTTTTAAAATATTAATCTTCTGTCTTGAATATTCTAAGGCGCTCAGAAACCAAATAACATGTTACAAAGATACACCTATTTACAAGAGCTTAACCAACACAACTTCATTTATCCTGAAATTCAAAATTTAATTTAACCCTTAAAATACTTAATTTCTTCTAAATGATATATAAAAACTCAGTCCATACCCCGTAGGAAACACATTACATCTCTGCTACTAAGATTAACCAGTAAACACTGTTTTTTTGGGGCGGGGGATATCTGTTCATTTTAGGAACCATACAAAGCATAAAAATACATTCTCTGGGCAGAATTCAAAGTTTTCATTTCTTACAGCAGATGCTACATGTAGAACTAGTGGGCTTTAAAAGGTTAAAGGGTCACGTTTTGAATCAATAAAGCAATATTGTGGTGGTAATAAATGGATTTTTATCAGTATTACCAGGCATGGTAGAAATATTTGAGTGTGTACACATGTATACTTATTAAGAATGCCTATTGTGTGTGTGTAAATAAATGAGATGCAGGCAGCAAAGTGAGCTAAAAGAGCAGTTCACAACATGCTGCTTATTCTGCACTATCTGTTGTACCTTAACATATCATAATGTGTATGAGTGACTCTCAGCAAGAATTTGGATTGAATATTTGATTTATTGATGACTTTAGCATACGACACATAATTACACTTAATTATAGTGCCATCGATAACTTCCACACGTAATAAATCACTAGAGCAACACACTAAGTATTTTCCAACCTGCAGTTTCTTTACTATTAGTTGCCAGGTAACGGCTTCTAACAATGGATCTTCCTCCGCTTTTGGGCTTCAGCCCTCTCTGAATGGCGGCTCCCTTCCAACTGCCTAACCTTGCTCCAGCTGTCTTCCTTATAACCCTCCGCACGACCACCATAGAGAAACCCGTTCCCAACATTTGTAGCCACAGCACCTGGAACGTGTTTACTGAAGCCGTTCCTTGGCAGTGGCCATCTCTTCTTGTTTATGAAGATCTGTTGCCTAGCAGTGAATGTTATTTCATTGTTTGTTTCATGGTCGCTGCCTAGAAACGGGCCTATACACCACATTACTCTCCCCTTAAGATTTACATCCTGAATAGCCTGTTGGTGTGTCACCATTTCTTCCTTTCTATGTGTCTGGTCAAATGAACTCTGTATATTCTTAGCGCTGCTTGAGGTACCAGATGAGAGCAAGAGGCTGCAACTTAACATTGTATTTCATGCTATTTTGCTTCTGTTATCACTTGTAAGCTTATAGCTCAAACATGGACAGCTTCTTTCCTGAAAGATAACCGTATACTAGCAGTGATTAAATACATTACCTTAAATGTTCTGAGATGATAATTCTCGTCCAGTTCAGGCATGTTGATGCTATGGATAATTTTGTGTTTCATGTCCATGTCTAAGAAGGCCAACATGTTCACATTTATAATCTGTCCTTTCTGAGCTGTTAATAGAAAGAATATTGTTGCATTAAATGTTAGAAGTTTAAGCATACAGTTTCGCTCTAGGGCCAGTGCAAGATGCACTGAGGGTGGTTACTGGTTTGGCATGTGAACATGCTGAAATGAATGGAATGATTGAAAGGATTTGGTCACAGAAACCTGTGATTCCATATTTTGGAAAGAAATTTCAAAGTGTTCATTATTTTAAACATCATACAATATATTCTATATAGCAGTAACAGACAATACACATTAATCGTATTGTGATCTGAGTTAAAGCACAGTGTAGTCTCATTAATGGATACCATCGTTTTGGTACTATCAGGCTACATGGTGTCATAACCCAGAAGACCACAATATGGATCCCCATTTCCATGAAAACCTCAAATGCTGATATAAATGGTATTTTAATGAGCAGCATACACACTTTTTCAAACAGATATTGTTTCTCTTGTATAATTACACTTTTCACTTATTACTTTTTACTCTGCCCTGAATGTTATATAGTTTAGATCACTGAAAGTGTTTGTATCAACTGTACAAGCTATTCACCATTGAAAAATGGTAGAATGGTCATAAATAATGAATTTGGAAGAACGTGGAAATACTTGTAGCATGTAAAGTACTGTCTTCTGGGCTGTCATATCATATATTCTAGTAGAATTTTATTGATGTTTCAGAGGAACATAGTGCGTCCAAATTCAGGATCGAAGAGGCAGGCCAAGCAAGCTGGCTTGCTTGTTTGCTTTCTCAGCTTACTCTTTGACCTTGAAGATGGAGGCAGTACATATCTCTGAAACGTTGACAGACTTCTACCAGAATATATGATATGTATGACATACCAGAAGAGAATACTCCTCACAGCCAATGCCATCAGAACCCCAGATCTCACACAGTTTTAATCTGGTTACTCTATTTTCATAACATATATTTTAGAGGACTGATGTAGACCATGAAAGGTGTCTGTCAAATACACTGGTCTTCAAGCCAGTATCTCAGTAACACACAACCTAAATGCATGGAATGAGCTTCATTTCTGAGCCAGATCTGTTGTAGTTGAACTCACCAATATTCAGTGTGGCTCCAGCAGTTTCCAGCATCAGATACATATCTGATGGGAACTCATTGTGTTCATGCTTCATTGCTAGGTTGCCAGCTATTGTGCCAGTCTGTAATAGAATGCAGTTCACTTTAAACCTCCAGGTTATTTTAACGCTTCATTAAGAGTCTCTAACCTGTGTGAAACAAGTCATTGCAAACAAATATATTTTTAGTTATTTATTTATTTTGCAAGTTTGATATCAGAATTATCAGTATTGTATGAGTACCTCTGTTAGGATTTATTTATGTCACCACAGAATACTCCAGTAAAGTGTCTTCAGTGTACGTTCATTAAATCTGGTTCTAGGATCGACATCGTAGTAAAAAATAAAATACAAGTATATTTGTGGTTATTAAGAACGTAGTTGACCATACTGCAAATGAGTATATTCGGTGTTGATGCAACAGACTTATTGCTTGGGAAACAAATATGCTTCATTTTAGTTGTAAAATAGTTCAGACTTTCGTATTTAACGTATTTCGTATTTTAACGGCTGCGCCATAGCTCAAGCGGTTAGTCGCTGGCTTCCCACTGCGGCGGCCCGGGTTCGATCCCGGGTCTGGTCAAGTGGGATTTGTGGTGGACAAAGTGGCGCTGGGGCAGGTTTTTCCCGAGTACTTCGGTTTCCCCTGCCAATCTACATTCCACCAATTGCTCCATAATCACCCTCACCTATCATCTGGGGCTGGTACAATAGGCCAGAAGTGGCCTCAGTACAAGGAACTTAGTCCCACCCCACTAGCAATAAAAAAATTTTAATTTTTGTATATATGGGAGAGACCATTTACACAGCTGTGCATATAACTGAGTTAATTATATATGTTACTTTAAGGTGGTTGCATACTTAACATTTATTGAAATTTTCCCCCATAATTTAAAATATTTTGTTATATTTTGATAACTGTTCAGGACAGAACAAGAATTGAAATATGTATGTCCTGTGGCTTTACCTCATCCATTCAAGTTATTATGACAACTGAACACCATTTTATGGTTGCTCATCATACACACTTACCATCTGATTCCAACTTTGCAAAAATTGAGAAATTTTCAACAAATTGCACTCAAACTGTTTATAACCCAGATGGTTTTCTGTCAGATTGTACACAAGTGTAACCAAAGGAAATATATTTGTTACACTTATGAAGCAAGAAGATTTTGTTAAGTGTATAAATTAGCAGAATTGGCGATGAAAGAGCTGGAAGTGTTGATGGGTACAGCTTTAATTTCTCAAGTGTATGTATGTTAAAATTAACCAAGAAAGAACACAGCATGATATTTGTGAAGTACATGTATAAGAACAACTACTTGAAAGTGTCATTAAAGAAATGTAGTCAGCCATCTGATTCCAACACAGTCCACTGTATAAAAAATATTCAGGACTACTGCTGATTAATCTAGCTAAACGAAAGATATCCTGGATCTTCTACAATACATTCCATCCTGCAAAATGCTGAGCTCAGGTAAAAAATCTCATGAGACACATGTGGATGATTTTCAGGAACTTGATTCCTAACTTCTTCCATCAATTGGAGTGACTAATTTGTAGGGCTGTGCTATTCATAAGACACATTGTTGCATGCAGCACTGCTTTGAAGGTTAATTCTTAGTTCATAGTTGAAAGCAAAATAGGTGCAACAATTTTAAGAACGAGTTTATAAGGAACTAAATAATACTGCACCTATAAAGTCATATGCAACATCATTAGTACATTTATCAATTAATATTAATTTTTGCTTCAACAGCAGTTACTCAAATGCTGAAAATGTATGGAGCAAATACAAACCAATTTAAAAAAATGCAAATAAATATGAATGCAATTAACATGATTTTATGATTTATGGATTTATTCTGAAAATATTTTTGAATGTATCTCATAATAAGTGTGATGTGTCATAGGACTGTCTGGTCCCAGTCCATTCAATTAATCTCCATTATCCAATTATAACTGTAAATTGTGCAGCATTAAGTTACAGAAACAAAGAAACAGAGAAGAGTTTGAATTATGACTTCACTCACGTTTCTGACTGGTACATTAGCAATCAAATCAATGTGGTCTGCAAGAACTCTTGTGTATTTATATTTTGGATTATCTTCTGACAGGCTGTAGAAGAGTTCCATGGTTTCAGTAAGACTCATATTTCCTCCAAGAGTTAACTTTGGCTGAGTTGAAAGAGATTTCAACTCAGCAACATCTCCCACATCAATGTATGCTTTGGGTTCCTCAGTTACCCTATATACTCCTGCAACATATCAAAAATAACATTTAGTGTAGATATCCATATTGTGGCATGTGGACCCATTACTAGGCAATGCCCATGAAATAAGCAGCTATACAACAGCCATTGCTAGGTAATGGATACACCAACAGACATGAACGTAACAATTTCACTGCAACACAGGAGCAGTATTTTTTATGTGGTCCGTGGTGAGATGGCTACTGATTTGTTTCCAGAAGACTCTCACCAGAGTTTTTTATTGCTAGTGGGGTGAGACTAAGTCCCTTGTACTGCGGCCACTTCTAGCCTATTGTACCAGCCCCAGATGATAGGTGAGGGTGATTGTGGAGCAATTGGTGGAATGAAGATTGGCAGTGGTAACTGAAGTACTCGGAGAAAACCTGCCCCAGCGCCACTTTGTCCACCACAAATCCCACTTGACCACACCCAGGATCAAACCCGGACCACCGCGGTGCAAAGCCAGCGACTAACCGCTTGAGCCATGGCGGGGGCCTCACCAGGGTTGGATGTGTTATATCCAGGGACCCTTCTACATAGGTCCCTGGAGCTTCTGTCTGCCTATACCAGAAGACTCAGTTGCTGAATGTTGTGATACCATGGGGAAGCAACCAAAACCCATCATGAACTCTGATCAGATTTCCTCTGAGTCTGAAGCTGAAGGAGGTCTCTTGGTGGGATAAGTAACATCACCATCAAGGAGAATCAGACTGACTTGCAGAAAAGCAGACAAGGATGAATGCTGTCCTCAGGGCTACTGAGGGATTTGTTGGAAAACTGATTGTGAATCCAACTGGGACCAGAGGCAGGTGTTCTGCTATCCTTGCTGCAGGTTGTGCAGACTGATGTTTTCCCTCAGTTCCAATAAGTGATGGTGCAGACCATTGGAGTACCTGAGCAGACAGCTGCCATCCACATGAATTTTACTGTACCTCTGTAGAAAGACCCAAGACCTGTGTGTTTACTGCAGGTATAGATGCAAGACCAAATTTGACCTTTCACAGCATAAATGTTGTGGCCGTCCTGATGAAATACAAAGTCTATGGTGAGAATATTACAGTGGTAGTGTGTTCCACACACTTACTCTATATTTCAGTGGATCCTCCTCCATCTAAAGAGATAGATGAAGTGACAAATTTCTGCTGGGAAAGGTATTTTACCATGATTCTGTGATGTGATGCTATCTACCAAAATGTCACGTGGGAAATTTTGAGTAGCAGTCCAAGGGTTAGGGCATTGCTGGAGTCTTGTATACTACCAGAAGTCACTAAATTTTTCACCTTTCTATTAATCATTCCAGCAACTAGCATGTTTGTTGAGCAGTAATTCTCTGTTTTTATGAGGGTGCATACATATCTACTCAGTATGCAAAGTAAAGAAAAATTCTTACATTATTAATGACAGACAAGATACAAATTCTTCAGAACTTAGAAAACATTTTGAACTCCTGTAACTCTGTGACAGATTTTTTCACTGAAAAGAATCTTTGCATCTAACTGAAGCACCAAGTATAATCACAGAAAGCAATCTTAGAAGTTACTAACAATTCCTTCTCAGTTTATATTTTCTTCCTCTTTTGTTCCATAACTTTATTAATTTTTGTCTCAAATTTGCATAGTTGTCTTGTAAGATGTATGAATTGAATTCCCACAGTTTCATGACCTCCCCTGCTTTTGGATTTGGCTAACAGTTTTGCAATGTAATGATCTGTCACTGATTCATAGTCACCCTGCCAAACTTATTCTGTTCTGAATAGATTCTGTGAGTAATACATCATTGTTACATAAACCAAGAGACATGTACATATAAAGTAACTGCTGCTTACCTTGACCTGTGTTTCCAGCAACAAGCCTGTATGGAACATCACCAATTTTATCAAATATATCAAATATTTCTTCAAGTTTTGTAACTTTAAACCACTGAGATCCTTTCAGCTGAAGATGAATTGATGAAACTTCTTTAGGGATGATCATTGTTCCATTGCAATTCGGATAAGCTTCAATACCATTACAGTTTCCAGAACATGCCTTCTCAGTTTTGGGACAAATCTTGATTTTATGTATATCCTGAAATGTTGACAGAACAGACTTTGTATAAAACTAGAATATTTTTAATTTGGTCACCTCATCATAAGGTGAGCAAAGCTGTCTGGTAACAGGCTTTCTTTCTTTCTTTCTTTCTTTCTTTCATTTTTCGGCCGTCCCTCCACCAATATTTCAAATCTACCACAATCAAATAATTTTGAACCATCAAGTCCATATCATATTAGATACTGCCATCAAAGTAAATATCAACTCTGTAAAACTGTAAAAATGTTAGTTCAAATTTACAAAAAAAAATCGGTTTAAATAAATAACTGCGTATTTCTCAAAGATATAATCACACAAAATTTCGTAATCTTATATAGAATGTTACTGCAGTCTCAGAAGTTCAGTATTACAATCATATTTGAAATATTCATACCAGGTATTTAATAGGCATTAACTTAAGTTCTGATCTCAGATGTTATACGTAATTCTAACACCAAGATCACTGAAAATCAACATAGATTCTGGGCTCAAATGATACAATTCTAACACCAAGTTCACTGAAAATCAGTATCCTGGCTAAGGTACTATAAAATGGAAGACAAGGACATGAATTTACATATGGTATGAGGCAATAAAATATGTAATCATGTGACTCATGATGATGATGATGATGATGATGATGCAGTTGAAATAAGTCACAGTATATCTTATTAGAAAGGAACTTGTAAAAAACTGCGTAGTTGTTAGTAAATGTAATAAGTAATTGTTGTATGTTGATGAACTTCAATTCAATTATATTATATTATATATTATATTATATTCAATTATATACTATAAACATAATTTTTCAATTAAATATGAAAATTAGGGTAAACTAAGACAAAGGTCATGCACATTTTTGCTGCTGTTTTCTGTAATGTGTTTATGTTGAATTTATATATAGTAGCCCCTTTGCCACATAGCACTGAAATGACGTCTGAACTTTACATGAGAACACTCGGTAGGACTGTCACAGTTTTATCTGCAAAGAGTTGGTCAGGCTGTGTTTCAGTAGAACGTTATTATTTACTGACCTCGATGTCCTGAACTTTCTCCAGTAGATCTGAAGCAGCATCTACACTCAAGGACTTGAAGGCATCCAGAATTGGACGGTAACCAGTACAGCGGCATATGTTGCCACCAAAGGAGTTCTCAACATCCTTCATTGTGACTCTTTCGCCTTCAAGAAGGCTGGAGAGAAAAAATATAATTGGGTGATCCAGGATTTCAAGTTATATTTAGTGCAAGAACTCTCTGTGATAAAATTGGAGTCTTCCAGGATGTGACACTGTGTAGTCTGGTACTTACAAGGATTCACATCATGACACATCCTAAAAGACTAGTCTTGATATTCATCACTGTGAGAACCTCTAATCTCATATTGTCCTTAAATGCAATGAAACCAAATGGCTCTGAGCTTACAGAGATATCATGTAATTTTCATTTGACATTATGCACAGATTTACAAAGAAAACGGACAATGAACTGTTAGATTTGTTAACTACAGTAACATTTCTTCATCTCTTGTGTAAATGCCTACTTCACTTATGTTTACACTGAAGAAATGTATATTGCTGATGTAAAAATATCTACCTCAATATTTTACTATTTACTTTCAGTAATTTTGGGATTCATATTTTCCTGTTAGTAGTTAGAACAGAGGAGGTCAAGGGAGAGATATATAAGGTTAACATTGAAATTAATTTTAAGGAAACAATTTTTGATGTTGTGGATTTGATCATACTTATACAAGATCACCTCCAGTGACAAGCACTGATATCACCAAAATAGAATATTTGGATATTAATGCCAGAAATATAGATAATGGTTCCTTCATTAGTATTACTGTTTCAAACTCTGTAATTCATAAACTACAAATTTAACCCTCAACACAGCCGAAAATTACACCACAGTTTTGTTGCACATTGTCCACTTCCTGAGGTGTCGACATTTTGAAATTGTCTTCAGGTGATCTGCTATCAATTGAAGGATGATAAATCCTTAACACAAACATTAAATTTTGAGAATCCTTAGCCTAGACTCCACACTAAGAGCACAGTGGTAAAGCTCTGCCCTCTAGAATGTTGCAATCATGCAAGTCTCCTTGGTAATAGTTATCATAACTAGTTCATAATGGTATAACAATCTCTGCTAATAATCTGATATTTCCCATAGGTGACTGTAGAATTCAGTGAGCAGGAGTTTATGGTGCATTTCCATCTGCAGACAACGTACCTGTACATATTCATTACCATCCCAGGGGAGCAGTATCCACATTGTGTGCCATTCATTAGAGCAAGTCGTGCTTGTACTGGGTGGTAGCCTTTCTTTTTGTTCCCAATTCCTTCCGCAGTAGTAATAGCCCAGCCATGACAGGAAAACACAGAAATAAGACACTGGAAAGGAATAAGCACAATTTTATACACATCATTTGTTTGTATTGTTGAGCTTTGTATTATGACACCACTCAGTCCAGTAGGTAAAGCTGTCCCTGTAACAGGCCATGGAGACCCATAGGGTTCTGACATGTCAATGCTCTCACATTTTCTAGACAGTCAGCTCACAAATGGCAGTGAGACTGTAAGATTTATGTGCTGGCTGCCCTTTACCCCCAAGAAGATTCCTGGTACTCATTTCTGTTAGAGGCTGGGTCAAACCCAGTCTATATGACTCCATTCAGAATCACACAATTCCGATCCATTTTAATATTACCTTCCTATCTATACCTATGTCTTCCATTCAGGTTTTCAGACAAAAATTTTCGTTTATTTGTCATCTGCTCCATGTGTGCCACATGTTCCCCATCTTATCATGCCTTATTTGGTCATCCTAATGATATCTGGCAAAGAGTACAAATTCTAGAGATTCTCATTATGAGACTTCCTCCAGCTTCCTGTTACTTCCTCTCTCTAAGATCCAAATGCACATTTTAGCAGCCTTTCCTCAGGAATCTTGAATGAAAATTCCTCCCTATTAATGAAAGTGTGAAAGGAAGCATAGATGTTGAATGGATGAATGTACTCACTGAATTGACTGCATAAGTCATCGCTGTTTCCTTGAAGGGGTGTTCAGATGTTACAGCCACTAAACAGGCACCACAACCTCCCTCATGGCACATGGCCTTTGTACCTCTCAGGTTGGCATGATCTCTGATGAATGTATTGAGTGAAGTACATGCTGGGAGGTTTTCATCCACTGAAATAAGAAGTAAAGTTTCCAAAATCATGTACAAATGATACCCATTAGCAGACTTCCAAAACTAATTCTCAGTTCTCAAGGGCAATATAATCAGAAAAACAGGACGAATAGAAGAAAACATGCATATAAATCAGAAGGAGAAGAGTTAACATATCACTTTAAGAAGAACAGGAAGAGATACAAAATTCTGTATGGGCAATGATCCTTTTATTTAGCGTTTTGTCATTTAGATGTCTGTAGTGTAATGAATGTAGTTCTAAATAGTAATTGGGTTCCATTCACGAAATACTCACAATTTCTGTAAAAAATTAAAAGTTTAATTCTGGCACTTCTTTTGTAACATTCAACCTGTTAATATAGTTTATTACTTACCTGCTCAGTAGCATGTATTGGATCATAATTTGAGGGGTGACTAAAAAAATCATTATCGGCATATTCAAATATTAATAATATAGCCGACATAAAAGTTGGCTTCTTCATCCCCAAACATGAGATTTGTATAAGCCAATCGATAATTTGTCTTTGGGGGGAAGGTGGGGGGGAGTTGAAACAAATCCTACCTCTAAATGATTAGAAATGTACCAATTATGGAAGAGAACTCACATTCCTCTCCATTCCCCTCAACAATTTCCCAATTTTCCAATTTCTGTGCACCATAATGGCACATCACTGATGCTTACCTCTAAACAAAATGGTTTACTCTTATTCATAATGTGTATGTATTCACAATCGGTCACAGTAGCCAAGCGGTCTAAGGCATGAACTGTCTCCGCTCGCTCGGAAGCCGGGATCGTGGGTTCGAATCCCACTCATGGCATGGATGTTTGTGTGCGGTTTTCTGTGTTTGTGTACAGGTAGAGGCCTTGCAACGAGCTGATCACCCACCCAAGGAGTCCTACCGTATGTCTAAGATCTAGAAAAACCGAAGTGAACGAAGTTCATGGAGGTAGGCCTACGCCCACTGGGGCTGTAGTGCCAAAGAAGAAGAAGAAGATGTATTCACAGTATTCAAGTGTATACAATCTCATTTATCACTTGTACACAACATGTTTCAGCAGTACGCTGCCATCTTCAGGTGTGTCGATCCGTCAACCATTTCACTGTTTGCCTTTATATGTCCATTGACAAATAATATTAAATTTGTATATGTCCTTATGTAGTAATAAAGTTTATGTATTTAAAACTTGTTAAAACCTATTATCTCATACGTCATATTTTAAATTTGTGTGTGTTATTGATCATCCATATGGGGGTCGTTCTTATGTTTCTAATGTTGTGTGTGTATTGCAACCGCAACAGTAGAACACACCATAAGACATAATATACACACAACATTAGAAACATAAGAAGAACGACCTCCATATACATAGTTCAAAGGCTAGACTTCGGGTATAATCAAGAAATATGTATCCTGTGTATGGACTATAATGGATCCCCTTCAGAAATAAAAAACACAGATTAACATTTCTGTATGTTATATAATTAGCTAGTTTATACTTCTCATTTTTCAGGTGTTGGAGAAGACAGGTTTCTGAGACAGGGATATAAATATGTCAGTTGTTAAAATGTGACCTGTATGTGCGAGTAGTTATAAGGTACAGTGGGCCATGCCATAGCTCAAGCGGTTATTCACTGGCTTCCCACCGCGATGACCCAGGTTTCAGCCCGGGTCAGGTAATGTGGGATTTGTGGTGGACAAAGTGGCGCTGGGGCAGGTTTTCTCAAAGTACTTTGCTTTCCCCTGCCAATCTTCATTCCACCAATTGCTCCACAATTACCATCAACTATTACTTGGGGCTGGTACAATAGGCCAGAAGTGGCCGCAGTAGCTAGTGGACTCAGTCTCACCCCACTAAGAATAATATAAGGTGCAGCAAAAGAGAATAGTCAGTTCTATGACTGTTATGTTATCAATATGGGTCATGAAAATAATAAGGAACTTCAACTGCCCATAAAAGGTACTTGTAAAATATTTGCTTCACTTGTAATTGAACCTTTACTTAGTAATTGAAAAAGACATTACCTGTATATTTCGTTCCATTTATGGTAAATGTAACATTATTTTCTGGGCTGCAACAATGAAAATTATGTCAAAATATGATCCTTGTGTTCTTACTGAAAAATATAACACCTTCTACATGCAAAAGAAACTGATGCCCTCCTACAATATTCCTAATGGTGTAATATCTATAGACATTTAAACTCAGTTAATATACCACAATTGGATAAGTGGGCCTACAAATGTTCTGTAGGTTGCATACTACCATGGAGAAGTTTTATAAGAAATTGTACTTTCCGAAGTTATTTTAAATGGCCAGCCGACCTGAGAGAGGGTTAACGAGGACTTATCTTTGGATAAACCCTCTCCACGTCACGAAGAATAATACAGCAAATTAGCTTATAGAATCAAATGTAATTCTGACTGCTAATATTATGTAAATAAAAAAAAGTTCTTTTAAGATAAAGGCAATATGATGAGTTGGAGTATAAAATTGTACATGTTTGTTACATGTATCAAATTATGCCGTCTACATTTTTGTAGTGACTCAAATGTAATTCTGATTGCTAACATTATGTAAATAAAAAAAAGTTCTTTTAAGATAAAGGCAATATGATGAGTTGGAGTATAAAATTGTACATGTTTGTTACATGTATCAAATTATGCCGTCTACATTTTTGTAGTGACTCAAATGTAATTCTGATTGCTAACATTATGTAAATAAAAAAAAGTTCTTTTAAGATAAAGGCAATATGATGAGTTGGAGTATAAAATTGTACATGTTTGTTACATGTATCAAATTATGCCGTCTACATTTTTGTAGTGACTCAAATGTAATTCTGATTGCTAACATTATGTAAATAAAAAAAAGTTCTTTTAAGATAAAGGCAATATGATGAGTTGGAGTATAAAATTGTACATGTTTGTTACATGTATCAAATTATGCCGTCTACATTTTTGTAGTGACTCAAATGTAATTCTGATTGCTAACATTATGTAAATAAAAAAAAGTTCTTTTAAGATAAAGGCAATATGATGAGTTGGAGTATAAAATTGTACATGTTTGTTACATGTATCAAATTATGCCGTCTACATTTTTGTAGTGACTGCGTACCGCCATCCTTATGTTCTTACTGGGACACATACAGCTTTTAACATTATTGAGTTATGTGTTTATAAAGAGCCCTTTCTTCTTGAAGTGTCTCCCTAGGCCCCCGTGGGATACACTCTTTACTGACAACAGCAGGTCTGTTGACGCGAAATGCTTTATCACATTATTGGATGGGACTTTCCACAGGCAGATGCTGCTGTATATTGTGAGGTAGGTACGTGCATGCGCAAACAAAACTTTTAAGGCCGGCAAAATATCTTCCTCTCAGCAAATTGTTTTGCTGATTCCTGAATTTATTCCCTCATTCGCCTTCATTGAGCTGTGTTTAATTAGTGCACAGGGACAATTTTAGGAACCGGGATAGCACACTTGGTATAGCGATTGGCTACGGGCTGTACGACCAAGGGGTTGGAGTTCGAGTCCCGATGGGGGCAAGAATTTTCTCTTCTCCTCCAGACTGGTTCTGGGATGACCACTCTCCTCCAGCTAGTGCAGAAGTCAAGAAAATGTGGATCTATAGATCCACTCCCCCATACGCCTTCATGGCGTAATGCTTAATGAGTTAAGCACAGGGATAATTTTAGGAGCCGGGATAGCGCAGTTGGTATAGCGACTGGCTACGGGCTGTACGACCAAGAGTTCGGAGTTCGAGTCCCAGTAGGGTCAAGAATTTGCTCTTCTCCCCGTCGTCCAGACTGCTACTGTGATCCACGCAACCTCATATTCAGTGAATACCGAGGTCTCTTTCCACGGGGCTAAAGCGACCGGGGCGTGAAGCTGACCACTCTCCTCCAGCTAGTTCCGAGGTGAAGAAAGTGTGGATCTATACTCGTAGATACACTCCCCAATACGCCTTCATGGCGTAGTGCTTACATAGTTAAGCACAGGGACAATTTTAGGAGGCGATATAGCAATTGGCTAGGGGCTGTACAACCGAGGGGTCGAGTTCGAGTCCCGGTGGGCTCGAAACTTTTCTCTATGTCGTCCAATCCGGCTCTGGGGTTCATCCAATCTGCTATTCAATGGGGCTGTTAAGCGGTGACTTTATAAACGGCGGCCGTTGCTATGTAACTCCCGCAGCGTACACGCACGCAACAATAGAACAATAGAACATTTCTCAGAGATATTGCAGGTTCGGTTCCAGATCACAGCAATAACGCGAGTCACACGAATTTCTTGTTTCCCCGTGCATATAAAAGTTATGTTTACATTATGCTGCAGTGTATGAAGTGTGCAGTAGCATTATGTCTAAACAAAGTACGTACCTTAATTAAGAATGCTTTATTGCTAGAAAATGCTACTCATCATCTGAGCTTTCAGCGAGCCGTAATCTTTTTGCTATGGAGGATCTTGCCTCGATGTTGATAATAATGAAAGTTTGAATATTGCCGGAATTAGCAAAAAGTGACACAGAGACGCGAAGTGAGCACATGCTGTTGAAAAAAATGGCGTCGATAGACTTGCTCGACGCAGGGAAGCCGCAAATCTTCCGTTTGTAAAAACATAGTATCTGCGAAGGGCAAAAAGAGGCATGCCTGTAATTTAAATATGAAAGACATGTTCTTGAATTTTCAGTTGGAATAAATTATTAAAGCGTCATCAGACATTGTTATTTGGTGCAGTTCTATTAAATGTGGATAGAATTGTGTTATTTCTATGTTTATGTCTCACAACTAGAATTCATAATATTTTCACGTGTATGAGTGAATTTCGATGAAGTTTCGGATTGGGTATGAGGTTTATTGACCACTTTAACCGGTGTGTTAAAAATCTCACCGCCATCAGTGAGTCGACTGTCTAGAAAACGTGGAAGCCTCGACGTCTCACAACACTTTGGGCCTCCACGGTCTGTTACACGCGGACGCTTTTATGCAATACGTGTTATGTTTCGTTGTCATAGACGAGTGAGGACTCTTATGCAGGTCGATGTTTGTATTTTCGCGACTCCTATTCTTGAGGCAAAAGTTTGTGGTGTGTTCTTTAGTGCCTTTAACAAATTGCCTTGTGCCCCGGGTATGAAGTATGCATACTATTGCTTCAGCACTAATAGGCGCTCCGTATCAACATAGAAGCGCGGAGGACCAATACAGCTTGTTCTCATAATGGAGGCTCGGAAATCCGTTGCTACATTTAGCATTGCTAGAAACTACGATGTACAGTTAAGACGTCTTGAGGCACTGTAAGAATGTGGCACAGTTCAGATATCTAGGAACGACGGCAACAAGTCAAAACTTGATTCAGGAGGAAATTAAAAGGAGATTGAATTCGAGTAATGCTTGCTACCATTCAGTACAGAAAATTTTGTATCCTCGTCTGCTGTGTAGAAACTTAAAAATTAGAATATACGAAACTATAATTTTGCCTGTCGTTCTGTATGAGTGTGGAACTTGGTCTCTGACATTAAGGGAGGAACAGAGACTGAGGGTTTTCGAGAAAGGGTGCTAGGGGGAATATGTGGACCGAAAATAGATGAAGCGACAGGCTGAACAAGACTGCGTAATGAGGAGCTTCATAAATTTTACTCGTCGCCAAATATAATTAGAATGCTCAAATCATGGAGAATGAGATGGGCAGGGCGTGCAGTACGAATGGGGCGAACAGTAATATACGAGTATATAGAATTTTGGTAAGAAAACCAGAAGGATAGAGATTACTAGGAAGACCAAGATGTAGGTGGGTGGACAATATTAAAATGGATCTTAGACAGACAGTGTGGGATGGTATGAGCTGGACTGATCTGGCTCAGGATAGGGACTAGTGGAGGGCTCTTGTGAACACGGTAATGAACCTTCGGGTTCCATAAAATGCTAGGAAATTCTTGAGAGCTGCACAATTGGCGGCTTCTCATGAAGGGCTCAGCTCCATGAGGTTAGTTTTAGTTAGTTAAGGTACTGTAAGGTGTCCGTTAAAAAGAAGGCTCCCTGAAACTAAGCCTACGGTGTCCACCCCCATTTGCAGTTCTGATTATGGAACCCGAATTCTGAAGGATTTGAAGGGAAGCGGACCTTGCCTGTTCTTATATTTCTTTGCTGGCGTTTAAGCGCCACGGTTAAGTCTGTTACACAACGTTACTTTTCAACACTTGTGTTCCCATAATTCGTACTGTGTTCTGTGATGACATCTGACAGAAATAAAGCCTTGGGACGGGCTGATCCCCCGTCCAAGGAGTCCTGCCGACTGTCTTAGATTAAGAAACTGAAATAAAACGATACGTTTCACAGATGCCCTGTGCTCCAAGTGGGAGCAACAGGAACAAAAGAAGAAGAAGAAGACAGATTATGTAGAACCTATTTATGTGATATCCTGAACTCTGATTTTCTGTTAAAGTCTTTACTCTGTGTTTCGAGGTTTGTGAAAATGCAAATAGACGTTCTCACTGAATCAGTTATAATATTCAGGGACGAATGGGCATTCTGTACAAACCCTCAATCAGCAAGAACTGAGTTCCAATATTTTCCAAACGGAAACTAGACACGCTTCCGCTAAGTTAACTTGTTCATTAATGGAAAATGAGATTAAAACACAAAGAGAACAATCATAACCTAATTTCATGCCACGAATATATCGACATTTCATCCAGATGTCTTCTGAGTAAAGAAAACCTTATCGCAAGGCTAGATCTCTCCGCCTGGTGCGATGGACTTTTTGCAAATGAACAGAGAGGTTATTTTTCTTTTGGTTTCCTCAGAATATAGCATCAACTGCTACAATTGTGTGAAAACCAATGTGTCATTTTATACACATTCTCTTCCTATAAAAATCCGTTTCTGTCTCTCTGTTGTCTGGTTGCTAGGCGGTCGTAACTCTTTTGCAGCCCTATTACTTGGGAACTATTTAAATATATAGCGATCAATATATGGAGTCGCGATCATTAGTAATACGGAAGTTGGTCAACGGTAATATAGGCTATATCCATTACACTATCATAACGAGGGCCCGGATTTTGATGACATGTCATCT